AGGGCATTCCCAGGGCCTGTCCTCAGGAGGCCTTGGGGCTCCAAGGAGGCGCCCACTCCCCAGGCTGGGGTGAGGATATGGAGTCTGGGGAGTTAGGAAACCGGGCCAGTGGGCCCTTCCCAAGGCAGATCTGCAGATCCGGGTCCTGGAACGCAGCGTTAAGCCTGGCCACCCATGGGAGGGGGCTGGGGGAAGCCAGGGCTTCTCTGAGCTGAGGCAGGGCTCAGCTCCAGGAAGATGCTGTGAGTTCTACCAGGACCGTGGCAAGGCGGGTCACCTGGAGAGGAAGCTGGGAGGGGAACGCCGGGTCTAATGGTTGGGACCGGCCCCCGCCTGGAGGCCAGGGCAGGGGCTCGGCCAGCACAGCAAGCACCACCCAGCGTTTGCAGGGGTGTCCTTAACTCCCACTGTGTGTGGCCTGGGAGCCTGGAAGTTGGGTGAGTTACTTAACCTCTCTGAGTCTCAGTTTCTTTCTTTACAAAAAGGGATAATAATCACAGACCTCCTACGGGTGTTGGGAGATCAACTATAAACCTTCAAGTTCGGTGCCTTGTGCATAGTAGGCGCTCAATAAATGATGGTTATTGTCATCGTCCCAGGAACTGTATTTGCTATGACATACTTTTTTACTTTATTACCTTCCTGCGATACAAAGGGCAGGATTTTTATGTCCACTTTAAAGACAGAGAAACTGAGACCCAAGTGGCTCAGGACATACGCAGTTTCAAGCAACCGGTTGGTAGTGAAGCCGGGACTTCACTACCAACCAGGCCTCCTGACGCCTGTCTCCCCATGCTACCTGGCTACCAACCCAGGGGACGAGGCATCTGCCCCCAGTGTGTGAATTCCCAGGGGCTGAAAACAGAGAGCCGGGACTCAGGTTCATCAACACACTCCCACGGGGGTGACTCACCCGCTAGAGTGAGAGCTGGGATCTGCCCCAGCACATTCCCACCCCCTAACCCCGGGGACGGGGGTGCTGCCGGGCCGGCAGTGGAGGAAGGAGCCTCACGGCCTTCGTCCACCTGGGCAGGCCACGGTGTTTGGGGCAGGCTGCGGCCCCCAGCCCAAGGGTCCCCGAGGGTCCCTGATGCTCCGAAGCTCTGGACAGTGCCCCGGGTCCGGGGATAGGAGAGTGGATCTGGGGGTGGGAGTAGGGCGTGGGGCCCGGGCACCACAGACTGGGAAGCAGCTTGCAGATTTTACAGGTCACATTATCTTTTATGGGCATCCTAAAAAGAATGTCAGGCACTAGAGGGTTTTTTTCCCCTTCTCTCTCTCTCTCTCTTTTTGACTTTGATCACTGCAGTCACCACTGCAGGATTTTTATCGCAGGCCCGGCCTGAGGAGCCGGGCACCCTCTGGCTCCAGCTGAGCACGGGGCCCTGGGAGCCCTGGCCGTTGTTAGGGGGTAGAGTGGAGGGTGGTGATGCTGCAAGCCACGCCCTTCTCTTGTCCTCCATACTGGGAAGGGCCCGTGTGTCCCCCACCTAGCTAGGACATCAGCTGGATTTCCACATACGGTCTCCCCCGTCCACGCTGCATGTCCCTGCCCACAGGGGACTTCAGTCCCCACTGGGGACTAACTCACTGCCAGTGTCAGCGCTCGGGCCCTGCTGCCCCTAGGCTGGGAGGGCTTGGGTCCCCCTGGAGACCCGGACTCACTCGCCCTCTCCCCTCGGTCCCATCTCCAGAGGTTCTCACTCCCAGAAAGAAGCCCGGTCCCTGGTTCCCAGAAGCCAGCTTTTGGGCCCAAAAGTCCCTTCTGGGCAGCCTTACCCACCCACTATTAAAATGGGTTGGACCCTCCGAGCTCACAGCCCCGAAGGCTCTGTGTTTGGGCTTTGGTTCATCACCCTCAAGGGAAACACGTTCTGGAATGGTGGAGAGAAGTCCAGAAGCCAGGGGTGGGGCGGGGAGGGTGCGCCGATCCAGGAGAAGGGCGTTCGAAGGCTCTTGGAGTCCATACGGCACAGTGGTTAGCGGCCCTGATTTGAGTCCCAACGCCACCCCTCACCACCTCTGTGCCTCCATTTCCTCGGTTGTAAAATGGGGGCTATGGTGACAGCCCTTACCTCAGAAGGTTTTTGGGGGAATCACCGAGTCCACAGGGCCTGGAACATAGTAAGTGCTCAATAAATGCTGATGGTCATTATTAGTGTTATTATTAATCCAGCCTGGGTATGTCTGAGCTGCTGCTCTTTGTCCCTGGGGACTCCAGGAAAAGGGGACGAGGGCTGACGTGGTGGAAGAGCCCCGGGGTGACACAGCAGAAGAACTCCAGGCCACGATACCGCCATGGCAGGGGGGCCAGGGGTGGGACAGCTCTTTCCTCTGAAATAGTTAAGAAAGAGGGGACATCAGCCAAGAAAGCAAGTGCTGCCCAGGAAAATTAGGCAGCGGGCCTAATGAAAACCAGGCAGCGGGCCAAGTAAGAAATGTGACCTTCCTCCTGCCTCTCTTTTTTCTCCCCTCTGAGTCTGGGGCAGGGTCTTTGCCTTCAGCTGGGCCTTGGGCAGGAGGGGCCTCCAGGCCAGATGTTGGGTGTGGGGATGGGGAAGCAGGTGAGGGAAGACCACGGTGAGGGGGCCTGGGAGGCAGTGTGGGACTGGACGAAGCTGGCCAGTCAGATCTGTTCTTGGAGCCACAGGTTTTAGGGCTCGCTGGATTCCTAGCGAAGCCCCAGTACAAGCCCATCTCCTTACCCTCCAGGAAATGAAGACCCGGGGGAGGTGAGGCGGCTCATACTCCGGGCAGGTTAGAGCCCTGACTTCAACGCCCTTCTGACCTCTCCTGCTCCGGGCTTAGCCAGAGGAACGTAGCCCCAGTCCTTTGAGTGCTTGGCTTTCTCAGGCGGGGACAGCTCCATGGTCGGGCACAGTCTGAAACCTCCTCCCCCAAAGCACTGCTAAGAGCTGCCCGTCACCAGGGTGTGCTGATGGTGAAGCCCCAGGGGTCTCCTTCAGTCTGTGATTCTCTTAAAAAGTTGACAAGAGTTTGATATGCTATCCCATAATGGATCCATGTTGCTTAAATAAGAGACAATGTCCCCCTCCAAAAAAATTTTTTAAGAAAGAAATTGATGTATTGGGATGATGCACCAGGTTTATCCTGCAACTTTGCCTCCAAATGGGGCAATAATCTCAACGAGGAGACAGCACCCCGAGCTGGAGAAGCCCTCAGAGTCAGCCCCTGAAGGGCAGAGGGCTTTGTGATTTCTGTTTGCTGTCGAGTCACCAGCCCCTAGAACAGGGCTTGGCACGTAGTAGGTGTCAGTAAACATGCACTGAATGAATGAATTGATGAGGTTGTCTGGGAAGGCCTGCCGAAGGAAGGGAAGTCCCGGCTGACATTGCAGGGCAAGGAGGTGGGGAGAGAGGAGACACGCTCTCTGGTCAGATGCAACAGCATATGCGAAGGGCTTGAGGCCAGAGGAGCCCAGAGTGTTAGAAGGCAAATGCCGCTGGAAAGTGTTCAGGGGGACTTGGTGAGGTGGGGGCCGTTCACCCAGTTCCTTTCCTTTCTAACTGTGTGATCTTGGATTAGTTATTGGTCCTCTCTGAGCCTCAGTTTCCTGGGTGGTCAAGTGGGATAATAAAAGGGTCTACCTCATCAGGAGTTGGGAGGTCCTGGGACTCAATGCACAAATACTCAGTGGCTATAGTAATAACACTGATAATTTAATTAAAAATAATAGTAATATTACTACTAAAAATAATTATTCCCACTACCACCAAGAGGCTCTGGTTTTCATTTTACACCATGCCCCCCTTGCCCCGTCCCAGAGCCAGGCCAAGCTATAGCCCGGGGTGCCCCTTCCTGTCCCCACCCCCTTGAAGGTCGGGCCTCCCCAAGGTTATCTCTGTTTTTCTCTGGATTCTGTGAAGTCGCACAGGTCACACTCTGGGGCTGAAAAGTGTTGCTTTTTATAGCCTTCTCTGATGGCAAGGAATGTCTGTGGGGCCCATCCTGGGGAGTCCTGTCCCCTGGGGCACCCTGCGCCCTAGGCAGAGATGCCTCCAGGGACTGGGGGGTCCCACAGCCACACCAGCCTGACACCCCAGCAGTCAGGGCCATTCTAGGCCAGGTACCCACTCCTGCCGAGTGTCAAAGGAGTGGAGGCTGGCCAAGAAGGCAGAAGTGCCCTGGACACAGAACCAGGAGTCCCCAGTCCCAGCTCTGATCTGGGGCAAGTCACTCCGCATTTAGGCTTCAGTTTCCCCATCTGTAAAATGGAACTATTAGGCCTCGCCTGCCTTCCATGGCAGTGAAGGCTCGGGGGCTTTGGAGAGAATGGGGTAGAGGGTCAGCAGGTCCCCTGGCCAGGCCCCTGTGATGACAGGAGGGAGAGGGAAAGGGACAAAGGAAAATGCCAGCACAATGGTGCCAGGAGCCTCAGTTACTGTTTCAAAGTACTTGGCAGGAGGAGGGAGGAGCGTCCCCAGGCGGCAGTGACGCCACCTCCCTTGCCTCATTCAGCCTGCACCCTGAGCCTTGGAGTAAGCACAGCCATCAGCATGGTCTAAAGTGAGGGAAACTGAGGCTGGCAGAGCTGAGGTGGTTCACCCAAGGTCACCCAGCTTGTAGGTGGGAGCTGGGGTTTGCACCATTTTAGCAGATGGTCCCCGGAGATGGCTGGCAGTGGAGACCAGGTCGGGGCTGTGTCCCTGTGCAGGAGTTCTTAGCTGGTAAAGCCCATGCCCCTCATTCCACCTGGCAGGGAACTGGCAGCTCACTCACCAGTCTCTGGGGTCCCTGTCTCTCCAGGGAGGGGCTTGGCCAGGGGTCCTGGGGGGTCCTGACCAGAGAGCTTGCTCAGCAGGACCAGTGCTGCACTTTGCTTCTCCCCACCCCCTGCCCCGCCTCTGCCTCCCCTTCCCTTCTTTTAATCTGGTTCTTATCAAGGATGATAACATTCAGCAGTAATAAAACCCGAGTCCACTTTCTACCAGCTGATTGCCCCCACACCCTGATTCCGCGATACAGAAGCCAGTGTCCCGTGCAGGCCCGAGGCCTGAGGAGACCGCCGCACAGGCACCTCTGCCCCTACGCCAGGGGCGGCTCCGGGCACCTCCATCAGCCCCACCCTGGCTCACTTCCAGCACAGCCTGTGGGGAGAGGATGCAGCCTCCCATCTCCGTAAGTATCTCAAAGCCACCTCCTTTTACCCAGGACCCGCAGAAAGGACCCAAGCCCGACCTGTGGCATCCCTCAGTCCATCCCTTGCGCCAAACAACAGGGAGCAACAGCTGCCACGGCCCGAACACCTGCTTTGTGGTAGGCTCTTTGGCAAGTGTTGTCAGGCATTTTCTCAATGAATCATGAAAAATAGGTATTATTCTCATCCCTATTTTATTTGGAGATGAAAACTAGGCTCAGAGAGGTCAAGTTGCTTGCCTAAGGTCACACAGCTGGTTAGGGGCACAGTGTGGATTTGAACTCAACACTGCTGAACTCCAGGGTCCAGACTCGCCTCTTACCTGTGCCCTGCTAGATGGCGAGCACTTGCCAAGCAAGATCCCACCCTCACACAGCTTAGGTGCTCCTGCCCCAAGGGACCTTGCTCATTCCCCCTGTGCTTCGAAGTTTGAGGTGGTAGGGCTGAGAGTCGGGGTTCCTGCTGCAGCTCACACCTGGGCTAGCTGCCAGGGCCGAGCTGGGGTGCCTGCACCCCACGAGGACCTTTGTCCCTTTAATAGGTCCTCCTTGGTACAGGATGTCCCAGGGCAGAGGGCGCAGCCTGAGTGCCAGGCCTGGGCAAGCCCTGCCCAGGGCACTCCCCATGCTCTGGGGCTTGGGGGAGGGCACCCATGTCTTTAACTGCAGGCACTGGTTTCCCTGTGCACAAGAACTGGGGTTCCCAGTCACCCTCAGCCAGAGCAGGACTTGGGGGTCCCAGACATGGTGGTGGCTGGCTGGGCAGCCTGGACCTTGCCTAAATCTAATTCACAGGCAGGACCCTCCCCCAGGGTTTGTCCTGATGCCCCCCAGCCACCCCACCATTCTCAGCTCCACACCCCTAGCTCCTCCCAGTTCTATCCTAGCCCCCACCATGCCTGGGACGTATCCGCTCTCCTCCCTACCTTGACTTTTGAGCTTCCACAGTATTCAAGGCCCTGTTCCTGGCACCTCCCCCAGGAAGCCCTTTCTGACTCTTGCAGACCAAAGCAGCCTCCTATTCCCACCCAGAACTGGCAAAGCTCTCATGTAGAACATCGCAGCATCCTTCAGTTCAACCCATGTTGACTGAGCATCTCATATTCTCTAAGCTCTGTGCTGTGTTCTATGGGTTAGGAGGAGAGAAGAATTATGAACACACAGTCCCAGCCTGTGGTTGCTCTCTGGCCTGTGAGGGAGGCAGGTCACCTTATGCCTTTCCACAGCACTTTTCTAAATAGCATGAATCTTTATTGTCCAGGCTCCCTGGTCTCTTGTCCTAAGGGGTACAGGCACCCTAGGCTCAGTCCTGGCACTCAGCTCATAGTAGGTGCTCAGTAATACTTGTTGGGGGAAGAATGGATTGAATAAATGAATGAGCTAGTACCTGTGGGTTTACTTCATTCCCTCTCCTTGACTCCAAGGTCCTCGAGGGCAGCAACCAGGTGGTCCTATGTTGAGGAGAAGCAGGGGTTTCTGGGTTTCTGGTAGCTTTGAGGAGGAACACATAACCAGGGCTAAGACAGGTGCCCAGGGAAGTGCTATCTCTTTTGAGATCCAACAGTTGAGGGGTAGGAGCAGAAAGCGGGCAGGAAGAGCAATCCCAGGAATGCCATGCCGTGATCTTAGCCTCTGGGGACCCTCGAGGCTGGTTCCGTCCTGTCTTTGGCTTCCAGATGGGAGCACCAAGGCCCAGAACCAGAGAGAGGCTTGCCTGAGTTTGAGACCAAGCAAGGGTGCGAATCCAGGCCAGGGTGCCCCCTCCCTCCCACGGAGCAGGGAAGGGTGGTGGGCACCTATGAGGGCAGGGGTCCATCAGGAGGCACTTGCTCAGGCCACAGGCAGTTTTAAGTGGTCCTGGAAAGACCAGGGCATTTAGAGTGGTCCAGAACTGGGGGTGAGGATGAAAAGAATCGTTCTAAGGAACGGGGTGGGGAACAGCTGGAGGGCCAGGTTCAAGTGTAACACAGAATCTCAAGCCCACTGAGTCTCCAACCCCAGGGTGACACCTGCCAGCCTGAGGTGGTGCATGTAAAACTGACTCCAAAGTAAAAATGTTATTATTCCAATTACAGGTGGTAATAGCAGCGGCCACCCTCTGTCAAGCACCCGTTCTGTGCCCGGCTCTGCCTCAGTGAGCCCTTGTGATAATCCAGGAGACGGTTATGTTATTACCCCATCTTACAGATGAACAGAGACACAGATCGGTGACATAATTTATGTGACATCTGTGAGTGAGAGAGTCAGGATTTGGATTGGAAAGGCCTGAGCCCAGAGCCATCTTGTCACACCAGGGGGCTGACCTCGGTTATGCCAAGCTGAGACTCAGAGAGGCCTGTGTTCCTGCTCTGCCATTCAGTGACCTTGAGCCAGTGATTCCACCTCTAAACCTGTTTCCTCCCCAGAACACGGAGGTGAGGACGAGCTGCCCTCACGGGGTGGCTGTGAAGACAGGAGGTGACGCATTTAAAGTGGCTGGATCACAGAGGGGGCTCCAGGGCCTCAGCCCAGCAGCCAGCCTGGCCTTGCTTGGCCTCTGTCAGATGTCTGCACACACCCCTGGGCACATTCAGTCTCTGCCCCACGCCCATTTGCATGCCAAGCTGCCAGCCTTGGCAGGTGAGCCAGGCCCGCCTTCCACCCTCCCCGGCCTCTGTGTGGTGGGGGAAAGGGCTGGGGCCCTGGAGCTGCTCACATGGGCCTGGCCGCATGGCAGAGTCCTGCCAGGGCTCCTGCCTCCTCCTGGCTGGGGCTGGGGCTGGGGGAAGTGGGCATTGGGCACAAAGGGCAGCCATGCCTTCTAAGAACCCAAGAGTTCTGGAAAAAGAGGCAAAGCCACCTTCTTCTCCAGCCCACTTCCTCAGCCCTCAATCAAGGTGCTCAATGAGCAAACACACATTTAAAGAGAGAGCCCATTTCTGGGGAGACTGGCTCCCCTGAGATACCAAGCAGCGATTCCCTCTCTCACTCCCCTGATTGATTTTGGTTTTGATGTGGACTGTGAGCCCTCACTTCCTCATCTGTAAAATGGGGGTAAGACCCCCTTCCTGGAGCATTGCAAGGCTTCAGGTAAAGCACATGGGGAGACAGCTGGTTCAGTTGAACCAAATACTCTCTTGCGTCACTCAACGCCCAGTCTGAACTTCCTCCCTTGAGCACCTGGGGAGACTGAGGACCTGCTCCCAAGCTCTTGGGGCAGAGGTGGGGAACAGACCCTGGGCGTCCCCACTCCTGCCTCTGCCTGTCTCAGAGGTGGCGGCACTGAAATACCGTCTCCTCTCCCAAGGGCCCAGAGGAATTTGGACAGCAAAGAAAAAACAAGCCCCAGCCTAATGTTTTTCATTTTTGTCCTGAACAATGCTGTTTCTGGGCTGATTGTTAAGCAAATATTGCAGGAGGCGGGCCTCATAGCTGACGCAGGCTGGGGATATTATCAGAGCCACAGTCCCAGGGCCCAGGGCCCTGCCACCCACACCTTCTGCCCAGGATTCTAGGTCCCCCTGTCAGTCCTGCCCACACCTAGCCACCTCTGGGGAGGGGATTCAGGGCTCCCTTCTGAGGGAGGCCTGACCTGGGGGAAGGCGTTAGGGAGGGCAGTTCCCACCGACAGCACTGTGTCTCCACGACCCCCTCCATCATCCTTAGGGCAACAGGGAGTTTGACTGACTGTCCTACTTTGCTCTAGACTGTGGGGTTTCTCATAACAGGGAACTCTCGGTGCTAAAATTGGGACAGTCTCAAGCAAACCAGGGTGACTGGTCACCCTACAGGGTTCAAAGGATTGAGTCAGGTAGGAAGATCCCTTAGATGATGATGATTCTACTACTGCAACCATTACTTAAGTGATTGCTGTGTGCCAGGCACCCCACAAGGTGTTTTACATGCACCACCTCACTTATCCCCACAACAGGCCTGTAGGGAACCGTGAACCCCATTTTATAGCTGAGAAAACTGAGGCTCAGAAACTGGCACACGATCGTGCAGCTAGGAAGGGGTAGAGCAGAAAGTCAAACCCAGCTGGGTTGCAAAGCCCGAGCTTTCCATTACTGTCTGTCCCATCTGGGAGACTGACCTGGACCAGCACAGATGGTAAGACCAAGGTCAAGAGAGGTGGAGAAGGAGAGCCCAGCCCTAACCAGTGGCCTCTCAGTACAGCCCACTTTAGGGTATCCCTGCTTAGCAGTATTGGGAGGCCCAGTTGCCCCTTGGCCTGGCCCCTGAAAAATACATTCCAGCTGCTTCAGGGGAATAAGATATACTTCTCTCTTGTCTAAAGGACCCCAAGAACTGCTCCAGATATGAGGAGTCAGTGTGGCCCCTGGAATCTCCACTTCCCTAGAGAGCCCGTGGCACAGTCAGGCAAATTCACAGGGGCAGGGCCACATCCAGGGCTCTGGCTGTGGCAGGGCCCCAGAACCCCAGGCCCCCACAGGTTTCTGAGGACTGGAAGGCAAGGAACAAGAGCTGGTCCCTTTATCTTAAGGCTGGGCCTGGGGCTGCCCATGCATGCCCTGCCCCTTTGTCCCCTGAGTTGACTGCAGCTGTGGCCCCACTGCAGCGAGGGCGCTGGCGCTCACTCCGGGGTCTGTTGGAGGTTTCCTCCAGCGGCTGGTGGCTGCGGGTACAGCTCACTAATTAATTAGCGCTTAAGTACTTAGCATCCTCCTGCATCGTGTCAAACGAGGATTTGAGTCTTAATTCCCTGTGTAGGTAACGGTGTGAGTGTGCCTGGGAGAGCGGTCAGGACTTAAAAAGAAACTCTACCTCCGGCTTGGATGCCGCTGGGGACAGTAACACTGCAGAGGCAGAGAGAGGTCTGTGGGTGCTGAGCTCCCAGATCCCCAAACCCTCAGCCCTCCATTCACTCATCCAGCACGGCATGGAGGAGTGACAGCACTGGCTCTGTAGCTGGACTGACTGGATTCAGCTCCCAGCCCACTGCCTGCTACCTGGGTGTTCCTGGGGTTGCTGAATTCCCTTGGGTCTAGATTTGTGGGTACAGAGGGTATAGAACGTGGCTGGCACATGGTAGGACCCCAATAAATAGAACTAGTCTCTGTGTATTCACTGTCTCTTGGTTATGTTTTTATCTATCCCACAAACATTTATCAAATGTCTACTATGTACCTGCCGGGCACAGGCCTGGGGGCTGGAGGCACAGAACTGAGAAAGTCTTACCACCTCCTAAGCCTTGGTCTGAGCATCATGAAATGGGGATAGTGACCAACTATCTCAAAGAGGCACAGTTAAATGAGATGCCAAAAGTCAAAGCCCTTAGCCCAGAGCCTGCCACGGGCTGAGCCCCACGAACTGCTGGGCATCACCGAACTGGGCTGGGAGCTGCAGGGCAGGTCAGATTGCCCTGCCTCCATGGCTCATGGCTCAGCATTGCTCACAGGACCCACCTGGAAAGGCAGCTCCATCCTTCGGTGGCTGGAGTCATGCTGGGTTTGAGGCAGGGCTGCTGGGACTGCTTGGGGTGGGGTGGGGCCCATTCAGTGCCAGGACTCAGGAACACTGGGTGAGAGTCTCAGTGGGTCCTTGTAGGAGGAGTCACGGGGCAGGCAAAGCCAAATTTGTTCCTTCTTTTCCTAATGCTCTTGTCTTGTTCATCCTCCCCAGTGTCACCCTGAAATGCGGGCCTCCAGAGATGGGCAGTGTCCACTATTGCTGTCACAGAAGTGGCATCAGTGGGGTCTCTAGCAAAACCTCTTCTGAATGGTGGGTCTCCCTGGGGGCATCTCAGCCCCACAGAGTGCCAGCTGACCAGTCAAGGGTGTGGGAGAAGTTCCCAGGCTGCACCTGTGTAAGTGATACCTGTAAAAGGTATCACGGAGGAGTGAGTGAGGGCTGGGGTGTGGGCAGACAGGGGATGGGGAGAGGAAGGTGCTGGGCATCAAGTCTGAGGTTTGGTCTCTTAGATAAGCTGCATGGCTCAGCTCTGGGACCTGGGGAAAGACATGCTACCTGGCTGAGTTTTGATTTTCTCATGCGAAATGAGGATCTGCCAGGAGACAGTGTCTCTGGTTGAGTACTCTGCGAATTGATAATACGTCATACAACTGCAGGGATTGGGCTATTTAGGAATATTTGGTTATTTAGGATATTCAGGAACTAAAACTGGCTAATGGTCCTACAGAAGCCTTTATCTGCTATAGGAAACTTTACAGGCAAACCTAAATCCTGCTGTACTCCCTATGATCCTAACACTGAATTTTGCTCATAATAAAAATACATGCCATTTATGTAGGACCTACTATGTACCAGGCACTGTGCTAAGTATGGGGCATTCCTTATGTCTCATCATAAGAAACTCCTGACAGCAGACCCACAAGATGGGCACTTTTTCTCCTCTTACAGATGAGGAATTTCAGGATTAGCTCGGTTAAGTCTCTTGCCTAAGTTCTCTCAGGTGTTAAGTTGTAGAGCCAAGATTCAAACCCAGATCAACAGCATGGGACACTCAATAAATGTTTGTTGAGTGAGTAAATGAACAAACGAATATGTGGTTCCAGGAAAATCGTTGGTTGGAGAGAGTGAGTCCCTCTTCTTTTTTAGTGAAGCCATAAAGGCAGAGGGAATGAGGAAAGAGTCCCCGTGCCTTTTGTCAGTCTTGAACTGTTACCTATTATTGCACAGAGCTCCAGAAGATGAAAAGAAATGAGAAAGAAAGAAAGAAATCAACAAACAAAATCCCAGCCCAGAAGGAAGAGTGCAGTTCCGTGGACCAATCGGGTGCTCACTGCTATCTATGGGATGGCTGCTGGTGCCGCAGGAGCTGGGGATACAGTCCTGGACAGACCAGACATTGTCCCGACATTGCGGTGCTTATGGCAACTGGCATGGAGCTGGACTTGAAGCATGAGGGCTTCATGGAAAGAAACACATCTGGGGGCAGCAGTTTGGGAAGTGGGGGCCACCTAGACCTCACCCCTTTATATACCTACTCTACTCGGTGAAGTGAAGAGTTTGAGAACCAGAGCACCGTCCAGTCACACTGCCTGGCGTTCACAGTAGACCCAGAGCCTTCAAAAAATTAGATGGAGACAAAATGGAAGGCATGAGAGTGAAAGAACTAAAGTCATAAGAGAGCCTGCAATCTGCTCCTTGACCCAAATGATAACTCAGGCCCACTGAGCACTCCCTCTGGGCCAGGCACAGTGCTAAGACCTTTGCATACTTTATCTCACTTGGTCCTCACAACAGCTCCACTTGACAAATGAAAAACTGAGGCTCAGAGAGGTCACCTTGAGCAAGATCAGGCTTCAAGTAAGTGGCAGAGCTGGGACTCGGTGCCACAGGTGTGTGATGGTGGACACCAAACAGACAGTGTACACTCTACTGCCCTGGCCGCAAAAGACTTTCCTGTAGACTGCTTTCACGCAGAGTGGTGGCATGGGAGAAGTAGGGACAGGGCAGGGGGCAGCCCCCAGGCTGGTAGCTGGGGTTCTGTCTGCAAGGCTGCCTTAGCATGCACGGCCCCAGCCACAAGGCAAGCAGAAGGAAGGAGAGCCACTGAAACAGAAAAGCTTTGCAACTCGCTGGGCTCCGAGTTAACGAGAAGCTTGGGAAGCCTCTCTAAACGTTCCTAGTGATGTCCCTGCGGGAGCTAGTTCATGTATTTTAAGAAAGAAAAAAAGAAATCATTAGGGAGTTAGGACCACGGAGAGGCCATAAATGTAAAATATTGGTGGTTCGACAGTGCACCCCTATCAGCCGCAAGCAGAGTTCATCTTGACAAGCCAGAACCCTGTCCAAGAAATAAATCATTTTGTTTTCCTCAGATGGCTCGCTGTGAATCTTCCCAGGGTGTCTGCTCCAAATTTTAACTTACCCACCTTGCTTGGGACTGAGGAAGACTGGCTGCCCTGAGCCAGGACAGAATATAGTGTTAGCGGGATTATGGTGGAAACTGGGCCCCGGGTGGAAGCCTCAGCCACCTCTGGACTGGGGCATCCCAGAGACCCCAGCTCTCCGGACTATCCCCAAGCCCCCCGTCACTTTGGTGGCCAGCACCCATAGTTGCACACCAAAGGCACTTCACCTACTGGGCATTCCGGGGAAGGGACGTCTGCTCCTTTGGCACCTTTTAGGTTCTTTGTGGGTGCTCGTTGGTGGCAGTAACAAATAAATTCTCTGGGCCCTGAGCAGGACCACCTCTGTCCCTCGGTCTGATTGGTGTCGTGTTCCCCCTTTGTCCCTTGCTCCCCTCAGCCAAAGAGATGCTAATCTTTTTATTCCCTCCTTCTTCTGTTGAGCCATATAGAGAATCCGGGTGAGGGGACTTACAGATATTTAGGACTCACTGGCCCTGCCAGCTCAGATCAGATCAAAGTCGGTTTCAGCTCAGGCCTGGACCCAGGGACTGAGACAGAGGGTCCAACGCTGGAGGAGATTCCAAGATCCCACCCCAGCCCCCAGTCCCCACATCCAGGGTGACTTCCAACAAACCACCTGACCCCTACCCACCCACCCCCCTTCCCAGCTGGGAGACAGGGAGGGTGACATTGAGCGCAGGCTCTTGGGCGTCCTAAGGGTTAACTAATTAATGGTCGGAAAGTGCTTTGAAAAAATAAAGTGCTGGATAATGGGAAGGGCAATTATGTTGGGAGAAACTCCTAATTTGGCTGGAATTGATGTTAATGATAAAGTATCTGAAACATGTAGCAAGCAAGCGTGATTGTATTTTATATGACAGAGAGAGACACTCACACGCAGGGGACATGGAGAGCAGTTAATTTGGTTAAATAAAGTGCAAGATAAAAGAACGGGGACGCTGAGGACTCGTGTTTATCTGAACTTGGTGTAAGACTCTGGAATTAGATCGGGCCCTTTGGCTCTTATTTATTTGTTTGTGATGGAAGTGAATGGGGGAGTGCCAGGTTTATGGCTCAGGAAGAGGCCATGGAAAGCAGGCTCTGAGCAGGAGGCCCCCCCCCGAGCAGGCACAGGCTGAACTACCAGGAAGGAGCCAAGGACTCCGAGGGTCAAGGTGGGAGGACATGCCCTCACACCCCATGTTGGAGGCAGAAGCCTTTGCCCACAGGAGCTGCGGGAGCAGAGGGCAGGGCTCAGAGGGCAACCAGTGCAGCTCTCTGACCTTCCAGAGGGAGAAACTGAGACCAGGAGGAGGAAGAGGGAGAGGGGGTACTAACCCATATAGGAGCCAGCGTCCGTGGAGCACCTCCCTTTGCCAGGCCCTGCAATGATCCCACTTAATCCTCAAAGCAAACCTGTGGGTAGGCACCTTTTCCACCCCCATTTTACAGAGGGTGAAATGGAAGGTCAGAGAGGTAAAGCGATGTGCCCGAGGTCACACAGCCAGGAAATGGTGGAGCAAGGGTTGGGGCTTAGGCAGCCTGGCTCTGGGAGTAAAACTCTCTGTGACTTTTGGCTAATCAAACACTCTTGATATTCACAGCTCTGCTCTCCTCCCCTAGTTCTGCAGAAGCAGGGAACCAGGACAAGGAAGTGGGGAGACGTCTAGCCCTGTCCAGTGAGGACTCCAGGGCCTCCTGGCCTGGGACCCTCTTGGGAGGGTTTGAGGCGTGGTTTGGGGCCCAGGGGGACAGAATGAGGTTGCCCAGGGAAGAGCAGCAGCCTTGGTTTCTGGAAGGTCTGTGAGGTCCCCACAGGTCCAGATTAGTATTCAGTATTTATAATATTTCCATAATGGTAAAACAAAAGAAAACAAGCAGAGAGAATGCATTTTTAATCACCAATCATTTCTCTTTGTTTGTTGTGAATGAACAGCGAGGTGAAATAGTATTTCATAATCACCCCATTCGAATTTTCCTCCCCACAAAGCACCGAGAAATCTCTAAATAAAATAAATAAACAAGCCAAGACCTTAAAATAAATTCCAGAGGGCAGAGTGCTACGTGTGGGTTATCGCAGCTGTGGGGAGGCAGGGGCTGGGAGGTGGGGAAGGGAGAACAAAGGGACAGGGGCCTTGTCAGTTACCTGGAATCGGTCACCCACCCAGGTCTAGGCAACCCACAGGCAGGTTAAGGAAAGTGGAGCAGTGGTTTAAAGGTCCAAAGGGTGGGATGGGCTGAGGAAGACTCCCCACTTCATTTCTCCTTCCTTATTCTTCCAGAATCTTCTGGTCCTCATCTTCTTAGTACAAACTAAAGGACCTCCTGTCCTCTTCCCTGTTGGAGCTTGATGGTGTCCCAACCCAAAAGGCTACCCGTCCAGGGAATCTTCTCTGTACGGTGTCTGCCTGTCCTCTGAGCCACTCCAACCCTCTCAACTGATAATGCAAGAAACTCTAGCAAAGAAGGAATGGAAAGGACATAACCAAGACACCCCACTGAGCACTTACAGAGCTGGACCTGGCACTCCTGTCAGGTAACCCTCACCTACATGCACTTATCACTAGGTGTCTTTGAGAATCCTCCCATGCCAATGAATTTGCTTCACAGGCTGTTCCTGATATTTTGTTTTGTGCTTCTCAATATTCCCAGACCCTCAGGTTCTAGCAAGGTGCCTGGCACACGGGGGCACTCACCAGATGTTTGCTGAATATATGAATGTGTCAGAACCAACAAGAGGCTACAGTTGATTTGGTCCCCTCATTGGCCATCAGTTGTCCCTAGATTGACAATGTCAATCACAGTGTAGCTTAGTAAACATCTGGGGTCCTGGTGCCTTGAAATTATGTCTCCAGTGATTTCCTGAATGACCTTAGGGGGGAAAAAAATCACTTTTTAGTAATTCAGAACCTTTCCGTGTAGAAATTTGAGGTAGAGCTCTAGGTCCAGAGAGACCCTCATTTTCAAATGAGTCCCGTGGTGGCCAAGGGCACTGGCCTGGGGTGAGAGGACCTGGGCTCTGCTCCCACTCTGCCGCTAACTTATTGCACAGCCACAAGTAAGTAAGTGGCTTTCTTTCTCTGGGCCTCCATTTCCCACCCAGAAATCTTCTCTATTAAATATTCGAGGCTCTGGGACTGGCTGCTTCTATGTGGACAGCTCAGCCACATAGAACTCATAGTGTGGGAGAACTCCACCACCGGAGTTTTGCAGTCCGGGGAGCCCCTCTCCCCTGCCCGCTTCCATGTTTAGGAGCACCACTCAGCCACCCCCAGCCCTTCCCCTGGTCAGGCAGCTGGAACAGGGTAGCTCAAAGCATCAGGACATTCTCAAATGTTCTGGCTATAGCCAAGGCCCACACTCCCTCTGAATCCTATTGAAAAAATAATAAAAAAGTAATTACTTTGTCATTACTGAACACTGGTTTGTCTTTTTTTTTTCCTTAAGCCATGACCATAAATAACTGGCCCATTACCCTTCAGAGTGGACACACACATCCCTAGAGGGCCCGCCTCCTCATGTATGCCGGTTCTCCCCCCGCACCACCATGCCCTGGTGGCGCACATCTACACATGTGTGCGCATCGCACAGAGATGCTGCTCACTCACCTGGCATTTTCTAAGCTTTCTGCTAGATGCTAGGAACAATGATAACAACACTTACTATGTGTCAATCCAGGTTAGTGCTTTCCGTGAATTATCTCAATTTTTCTGACGCTGCCAGGCAGATACTGATTTTGTTACCATTTTACAGATGTGGACACTGAGGCTGAGGGACGTCAGGAAATTGCCATGGTCAAGCTGTTAGTAAATAGGCAGAGCTGGGATTTGAAACCATCTGCCCCAATCCTGAAATTCAATACACTGATTATTTAGACACAGATTTAAAAACCACATACACACATAGTCTGCTGGGAGAAGATCATTATAATACAGTGTAATGAGTGCTGTGACAGAGGAAACAAGGGGGCTATGGGAGCCCAAATAGAAACAGCTAACCCAGTTTGGGGGAAGGGGACATCAGGGAAGACTCCCTGGAGGAGGTGGTACCTGCTTTGGTCTTAATGGGTGAGTGGAAGGAGGACAAGTAAAGAAGGCGAGAAAAGGCCTCCAGGGCAGAGGGGACAGCCTGGACAAAGGTCTGGAGGTGAGACGCAGCAGGGTACATTGGAGCTCTAAGCAGCAACCTGTGACTGGAGAAGAGGGTGTGTCAACGCGCGCCGGAGGGTGTTGAGAGGAAAGGCTGGAGAGGTGGGCAGGGCCAGCGTGCACATCCAGGCCAGGCTGGCACAGGGGGCAGCCCTCCCCCACCCACAGTCAGCTACCCAGCACTCCTGGCCCTGTGACACGAGGGCACCTCATCAGCAAAACAGCTCTTTCTTGCCTGGCCGGCCAGCCCCACCCTCTGTGAGACACAGAGCCTCGGGAGGGGGCCGGCCCTGCACAGGTGCCAGTCGGAGGCAGCACGGCCACTTCCGGAGCCTCGCAGCGGGCTCCTTTGGCCCGTAGCCTTGCCACGCCAACCTCAGGCAGGATTGCCTCCAGGGACAGAGGCAGCACAGCCAGAACTACTCCATTTTGCTGCTGTCCTCAGAGGGCTGTGCTGATTTCAGATCTGGGCGACGTGAGGAGGAAGGAGGAAGGGGCAGGCCTGAGACAGGGGCCCACGAGGCTGTGGCAGGAAACACAGGCCACAGGAGTGTGGCTTTTGCTCCGAGGACAGGGGGTCCCTTTGGCTTCTTCATCACTGGCTTTCCCCTCCTCAGCAGGGCACTGGCACCACCCTCCTTGACAGGCCTGGGAGGGGTTAGGTGGCGCGGTGCATCTGTGGGTAAGAGGTGATGTCAGCAGCCAGTCCTGCCCCTCACCTGTACACTGTATTCAGGCGTCTGCTGACAGCATGAGCACAATTTTCCAGTGTGTGAACAGAACACAGCCATACCTACATAGACCTAAACCCTCCCTTAGAGGGACACATAGTCCCACACCTGCGTGTGCATGCACACTCGCACGCACATGCATGCATGCACACACACACACACACTCTCTTACAGATAAAATCAGACACACACCTCACCACTTGACCTATCTCATCTACACATATCCTCGAACGGCCCAGGTCTCAAATGTGCCCAAAGAAGATATACCTGGTGGGTTTCATTTAAATTCACGCTTTAAATATTTTAAGTTCAATTCACACCCAATGCATGGCTCTCAGATTGGATTATAGTTTTCTCTTTTAATTTTTCTACATTATGTTTATATTTGTATTTCTCTGTGTTTTCTGAACTGTTAGCATTGAATGCCAATTAAGTCTTTTTTTTATTTTTGAAATTTCAAACTATTTTTTTTTTAAGTTAGATGGTTCAAAGGATATTAAAGCTGGAAAGGACCAAAGAGATTGGAGACCCTGGAACTAGGGAACATTTCCTAAAAGGAAAAAATTAGTCACCTGCAATTCTTCTTGTTACCAGGCAGAGCTACACATAAATACCAAAAAAGTACATTAATTAAAACAAACCAGAAAAGGAAAAGGTTGAGCCAGAGAGCAAAACAGCCTATCTCTTGATTGGAGCTCAGGCAGAGAAAAATGAAAGCAGTTACAAAGTGTGTGGGTCCTGAGCTTGAAAAACAGGTAGTATTTATGGCATAGAAATCCCCAAGGCTTCTCTGTCGAGAGAGGTTTCTAGAAGTTGTGGGCGGAGAGGTAGGAGGAAGCAGGAGCTCATCTCTGTTGAGGCTGAAAGACTGAGATAGACCCCATGCCTCCAGCCCCAAGAGCTGAGCAGATGCCCAAGAAGCCTGGGCTCAGGTAGACATTCTGGAAGCCCCCAAGAACCTGAGAAAGGGCTATGCTCTCCGCTCCGGGTTCTGCCCTTATCTTTGCCTGAGCTTGTGGATATGACCAAGGCCGCTCAAACCTTGAAACAGCCCCTGCTTGTGGCCAGCACAGTTCTAATAAGGATTCATTACTAGAATCACAGACTCCTTCACCCATTAAATTAACAGGGGTTAAAAAAGAGGCAGAGAGAGAGAGAGAGAGAGAGAGAGAGAGAGAGAGAGAGAGAGAGAGAGAGAAAGTGAATACCAAAGGTTGGAGGAGATGGGCTTACTTGTACCCTGCCAGTGGAAGGGCAAATTCACACAGCCTTCTGGGGAGGGGGCATTTTGGCAATGGGAATCAAAAGCTTTGAAACATATACATACTCTTAGAGTCAACAATTCCACTTTAAAGAATGTGTGATTATTTATGGACAAGGGTATTCATTAGAGTTATTTATAATAATGAAGAGAATTGGAAATGAGTTCTATATTCAAAATTTCCAATGGTGAGGGGCTGGTTAAGTAAATTATGATCAAACTCCACAATACAGGCATTAAAAATCATGGTGTAGAAGTATATTTAATGATGTGAAAGAATGTTCCTGCTATGTATACATGGCAGGCTAAAAAAAAAAACAACCAGTATGTTCAGTGTGATTCTGATTTTATAAAACACAAAACAAACCAACAAAAAACCTAGACTGGCAGGAAATACACCAACACACATCAACAGTGATTATTCCTCGGTGGTGGGAATACAGATGATGTAAATTTTCTTCTTCCTGTGTATCTGTGTTTTCTGAATTTTCTATACTAGACACGTATTATGTATATAGTCAGAAACAAATAATCATGTGCTTTGCAAAACGAAGGAGGGAATTTCAGGGTGGAAGGACTTGTCAAGTTCATTGGATGGGATTAGGGAACCAAGCTTAGCTTTTGGGAAGAAGCCCCTCTCCCCTTCTTCCTTCCCAGGACTCCCAAAGGAGACGTTCGTAAATAAAAGAAATGCACTCACCCTTTTTTTAAAAATTACAGCCTGCCCAGTAATCACCATTTGTTTAATTATTCAGTCACTAAGCATCTAGTAAGCACCTATTGTGATGCTAGCACCTTGCTAGGTCCAGTGTACCTGAAAAACACAGACCTTGCCCAAGGAGAACTTCACAACCGGGAGCAGCTTAGGAAAAAAGGGAAACAAATACAGTCTGTAATTTTTTTCATTAAAAAAATAGTGACATTTTAGCAATGTTTATTGAGCACTTACTGTGTACAAAATCTGGTGCTCAGTCCTGCGATTCCTGTGGTTCCCTTTATCTTTTGCTAAATTGAAATAAGATTTACAGTTAAAGGGCCAACTTGTCCTTCTTCCCACCTCCTCCCACAATGCACTCACATTCAAATTCCATCTCTTCCTGAGCTGAGAGTGAACCTAAAAACGTGTGCTGCACTGCGCTAAGTGGGGCAGTCAGGCTTTTATCACCTCCCTGCCCAAGTAGTTGGTCCAGGTGGTGAAAAGCATGGGCTCTGGAGTCAGATCATCCAGCTCAGTCTCAGGGATTATTCTCTGTGCCTTGGTTTCTCATCTGTATAATGGGTATATTCACAATAGTAACCACCTCACACAGTTGTGAGGGTCTAAGAAGATAATACGAATGCTTAGCACCATGCCTGGCACCTAATGACCACTCAGTAAATAACTTCAATTGACGTATGACTAGGTGTTGCTTTCCGTCACTGCAGAAGGCCAGAAACCAAAAAACTGTGACCAGGAAGTGTGCTGTGATTACTTTCAAGGCTTTCCCAATTACACAAACTGAGACAGACTTCAATTTATTTGTTCAACAATTAATCACTGAGATCCTGCTGGGTGCCGGGCACTGTGCTTGGCTTCTTGGCTTCTGCCATCAAAGCACAGACTCTACCCTCAGGATGAGCTCAGAGTCTAGTGAGGAGGGCAGAGGGCTCTTCCTTGGAGATGGACATGGGAAAACCTCCCAATCATGTGCCACTTGGAGACAGGGGGGATAAATAGGTGACCTCAATAGGGTCCTCAACTGCCCGCCTCCCCTCCCGCCTATGCAGCCTCCTCTGTTGGGGGCATAGATCATCAGAGCCATCTATATCCCCAGTGTCGACCCCAGGCCATATGCCAGAGAGTAGAAAACTCATCAAAGCCACCGTGTCAGCGTGGCAACTCCTGGCTTGTGCCAGCTCCTCCTCCCTCCCCCACACTTTGTCCTAGCTGCTTTCTCCTACATCACAGAACCCCCAAAGGCAGACCATGTGGCTCATTTTGATCCAGTGCCTAACTCACAGAGAGTGAAGGCCTACTGTGTGCCAGGCACTGTTTGAGGTGATGAGAGAATGAAGGGATCCAGAACAAAGTCCCCACCTCCACGGGGCTCCCCTTCTAGCAGGGGTAGCTGGATGGGAAAAGTGGGAGTGAATGAAGAAGCCAAATCATTGCAGACACTCAAACTAGGTAAAGTGATAGAGAGGCTGGGAGCTACTTTAGGGAGAAAGCCTCTCTGAGGAGGTGTCACATGAGCAGAGACTTGAATGATATCAAGGAAGCAGCCACAAAAAGGGCATTCTAAGCAGAGGCAACAAGTGCAAAGGCCCTGAGGTAGCACCAAGCTTGGTGTTTTCCAGGACAGCAAAAAGTTAGTGTGTCAGGAGCAATGTAACGCAGGGGAAGGTGGAGGGAGGTGAGGTCCAGGGGCGGGTGGGGGCCAGATCTGGCAGTCCTTGGGGAAAAATTTGTTTTATTTTAGGGAAAGTTCAGGAAATGCTAAAATAAAGCAATTGAGGAAAAGAGCATTTGATTTTCCCTGCAAGGGAGTAGAGATAGGGAGCAAGACACTGGGAGGCTTAAGAGACCAGAGGTTACTTTTTGGGTGTGGTGTTCTCTCCTGGCACCTTGCTTTGTTTTCATTATTTTTTGTTTTTGAGTTTGGGGTAGAAAGGAAGAGAAGCCTTCTCTTTCCACATCATCCACTGCCTTCCTCTCTCCTCCCAGCCTTACCACTGTCTCCAGCTTCCCCCTCCCCAGATGAGCTTTCTTCTGAGGAGGTAGAAAGACTCCTTGGGGATGGGAGAACTGTGAAGCATCTGAGAAAATGGAGGGAAGAATAAATGTTTTAATAACAGTTTGGTGGGTGAGATGTGACTGTCGGGGTCTGAGGGGGGGAAGGGAGGAAAGAGGGGAAGGGAGAGACTAACTCCTATGCCAGCTCCTCATTCATTTTTGGCTCCCAAGCTCGGCAAACACTTGCTAAATGAATGAGTGAGTGCAGGACTGTTGCTGGAGGAAGAAAAGGACAGAGGCGAAGAAGGAAGGGAGAGAGGACAGGAAGGAATGAGAAGTCGAGGGAGCACTGGATGTCCCAAGGAGCAATGACAATTACTGGCATTTATCGATCACTATCTTGGCCCAGGCACTTTTTCTGCATTAACTCATTTTAGCCTGCAACAAGCCCAGGCAGCAGTACTACTATTGTCCCCATTTTACTGTTGAGGAGATTGAGGTACAGAGAGGTCAAATGCCTTCCTCAAGGTTACCCAGCTGAGGAGTGGTGGGGGTCTTACCCCAAAGCCCATGCTGTTTACCAGTTCTTTATTCCACTCAGAGTGGAATGAGCCCCCAGTCAAAAGTTAGAAGACCTATCTCGCCACTTCTGTCATTACCACTCACTGTGCCTCAGTTTCTCCTTTGTCAGTAATAGCAGGACTGGGCTTGAGATCTTTGGGGCTGTGCACTCTGCTTAGTCACCAGGCACAAGGGTCTTACGGGTGGCAGGCCAGTAGACAACTACTGGGAACCAAGGATGCCTTTGAGGGTAGGGGTGGTTATGGAGAGAAATGTGTCAGTGGTACATGGGGACAATAAATTATTGATGTGTGAGGTTTCCTGCTAATTATGGGGACACAGAGGTGAGAAAACTTAGTGAACCTGGAAGATGTGTCTCATCCCCAAATCTGGCCTTCCTATGCAGACAAATCTTGAACTGATTCCCACACCCATTCCAGGTAGTAAGGAGATAAACTCGTTTTGAGTTGGTTCCTTCCCAACCAGTCGAGCATCTAAGGGGCATGGGATGGTTGCACCTTCTCCCCCAAAATCTAGAGGCTTTATCAGGGAACAGGGCAAATCTTGGCCACCTTGGGGTCAGAGGACCATAGAGTTCCCAGTCTTTATCTATTTATTAATTAATTTCCAGCTTAAGGCAGGGCATGGAATGCATCCTAGCAGATGTCTGTCTTGGGCAATTACCATAGGGGACTTGTGGTCACTTTCAGTCCTGAGAGGCTTTGCTGAAACCTTGCAGATAAGGCCCTAAAGTCTATCAGCCTGCAAAAATGTTTACCAGTCTGTGGCATTTCCTCCTAGCTTAATGCATTCGGTTGAACACTTCTCAAAATTGTAGGTCATACTTCGCATTTTTATCCATTTATTCCATGAATGTTTAGCTATTTAGTTTACTATTGTGACCAATTTCTCACTTATCTCACCATCTGAGTGTTTCCCCATTTCTTGAAGGTCTGACGTTGCTCTTCCATCCTGTCCTTGTTCAGAAGGGAAAACAGGTACAGTGACTAGCTCAGTCCTAGTATGGGGGTGGCCTGGCAGAGAAAGGCAGGTCCAGAGCCACTAGTTTGAAGGCTGCTGCTGACTTCGAGGCTCAGCCCCCTGAGGCCACCTCATACCACCTGGGAAGTGGGTCACATGGGAAAAGGAGAAAAGGGCCATTTCTCGGGTGGAATTTGAAGGTCTGCTCAAGGAGGCCCTCCTCTATCACCCCTGGAGGGGGGAAATTAACTCTCCCAAGATACTATTCCATTGCCTTGTTTTATTTTCTTCATGGATCCTTTCTCTGAAATAATTTTATTCATTTGTTTTAACGTTCATTATCTGCACCCCCACCCCCTCCCCCAAGTTCATTCTTCATAGCCTATCTTGCTCACTTAAGGATTTATTTCTTGCACAATGGGTTGAATGAAAATCTCCCTTGCAAAGAGTAAGTGCAAAGCAGATATCAAACTGAGAACATCACGTTCCTTGGGATTCGACAATTCTAACTTGCAGAAAAGAGCTAGTTCAGTTCATCAGTGGAAAAGTGGGAAGCATATAGGCTCTCGGGGTTCAGAACAGGTGAAATGTAACCCACTCCTGCCCCTTCTCTCTTGTCCCCCAGCCTGAGCCCCGCTCAGCTGAGGAATGTAGAAAGCTGCTCCAGCTGCAAAAGGGCGCCGCGCGCTCAGATGCTCCTCCGCAGGCCGCGTCTAGCCGCGCGCAAGCCGAGTTCGGCCGGGGAAGTGGGTGGGAAGAAGCCGGGAGGGGAAGGTCTGGGGGTGTGAGGGTGGAGCGGAGCCCGGCCCCGCGATCCGGCCCGCGTTTTGCATGCCACCCACTCGCCCGCTCGGCCGCGGAGAATTCCATAATCACAGCGGGCGAGAGCGGAGACTGGGAGCGAAAAATCCGGGATCCGGCAACTTTGGGCAGCGCATGCGCGCCCGCGGCGCTCCATCCCAAACACACACACATTTTTCCCCCGGACTTGGAAAGTCACCCAAAGCCGCCCCAAGTGCAGGTAAGAGACTCGGCGCTCCCTCAGCCGCGGCCCCCTCACGCCCCTCAGCTCCGCTGGCCTCCCGGGGTGCTTCCCCGCCTCGCCCCCTGTCCCGGTGCAGTCCCCCACCCCCGGGGCTGCTGCTTGCAGCGGGGAGCGGGCGAGCGAGCGAGTAAGCGAGCGAGCCAGCCAGCCAGCCAGCCAGCCTGCGCGCAGCGGCTGCCACCCAACTCCGGCAGTGCGGGAGGCAGGGGACACGGAGGGCTGGCACCCGGGCGCGGGGAGGCGCGTCGCCCGCCGCGGCCACCGGAATGCCCAGCGCGCGGCTCCGGGGGAGGGGAGGGCCGCTGCTCCTGGGGGTCACTTACTCCAGCTGAGGGGGCGGCGGGGTAGAGGAGAAGAGGGGGAGGTGCCAGGCGCGAGTGCAGGACTTTGCAAATAGGGTGGGGGTGCCCCCCGCGCTGCGGGCTCCTGGCGGAGGTGGGGGGGGCAGGTGCCCGCCAATACCGGGTAATCATTCCTTCTCCTACGTACCCCCCACCCTCAGCTACAGGGGTTCGTGCGCTTTACAGAGCAGAGAAGGAGGCCAGGGTGAGGGGCGCCTGGGGTGACTTTGCAAGACTTTGCCCAAGGGAAGGGGTGGGTGGGGAACCCCTCCAGTGGGTGGGGAACCCCTCCAGCCGACTCTTGCGCCCGTTTACCAGAGTGTAGGTTCTACCGGCAGAGGTAGGCAGTGTTCACTTGGGCGCTGGGTGCCAAGGGGTGCCTCTGGGTGGGAAAACGAAGGCAAGAGGTTGCTTGGCTGGGGGGAGCGGTACCCCCTTTTTCATTTGTGCCTGGGAAGTTTGTCTCAAGCGCGCTGCTCCGACGCGGCAAGTGGCGCTCCTCACAGCCCTCGACCCCCACCCCAGCCTCTGCTGGTGCAGGGCTGGCAGTGCTGGACACCGGGAGCTGGGGCATCGGCTCAGGGCCATGCGGCTGTCGGCAGGAGCCCGCTCGTGTCCCAGGAAAAGTTCGGGGGAGTTGCCGCGGTTGTTTGCGCTGGGAAAGAAGTTGCTCCCGGGGATGTGGGACGCTGGGCTGGCGGGCGGGCGGGCAGGCGGGTGGAGCGGTGCGCTCCCAAGGGTCTCGGCCGCGGTGAGAGAGGGTCTGGCGGGGTCTGTGCCCCGGGAGTGGGATGAGGCTGACCTCGGCGCTCAGCAGCTGGGGAAGGGGAGCGCAGAATCCAGGAGCGAACGGCCGAAATAGGCACCAGGAGGAGGACAGAGAGAAGAGTGGCTTGTGGGGGCGTCGGGGGACACCGAAGGGGGGAGGCACAGGCTACTCGGTCACTTGGGGTCGCGCTTCAGGGCAGAGGAGCGCGTGGTAGCTGGTAGAGGAGTGTCGGGGAGCGGGGCTCCCGGGGACGCGCGGGAATGGGGGATCCGGCCTGACGGACGGTCGGGGAGCTCCCGGGGTAGGGGGCCGGGTCGTGCGCCCGGGGTGAGCCGGCCAGGCGGAGCGGCGGCCGGTTTATTTTTACTCGGTGGCATTTGCAGAATGTGCAGCTGATGGCCGTCGGCCGCCAGGAAGTTTTGCTTTCTGTTCTTTCTCTCTTTCCGAAGCCAGCGCGGCCAGGAGCGGGCGGGCCGGGGAGCTGGGCCTGAGAGGGCAGGGGGCTGCCACTGGGGTGCCAAGGTGCGAGCAGGGGCGCGCTGGGGTGGTGGGCAGGGGCTGCCCCGGCGCAGGCGACGAGCGGGTGCTGGGCCGCTGCGGAGCATTTGGGTGAATGTCTGTCCCCAGCGTTGAAAGCTCCTCGACGAGGGGAACAGGTGTATGCGCCGTCAATCACGGCGGGAGGGACACTTTGGGGGCGTAGATTAAGATAATAATAATAGATTTTTCTCTAGGGGTGGGCGCAGATTCTTCTAACAAGTCATCCCCGACCCGGGTCCGGAATTGGGGGAGGAGAGGAGTGCCGAGGGAGACAGGGGGCTGCTTCTCCCTACACACAAGTTACTGCTGACCCAGTCTCAGCTTGGGAAGCGGGCTCTGGGTGCGGCGAGGACCTCCTTCCAGTCACCCTGGAAAGGGTGCGGGTGCGGTTGTGGGTGTGTGTGATTTGTCCACCAGGGAAGCAGCGAAAACACCCCTCCAACGAGCCTGAAGCTCCCCTAAACCCGGCTGGATCAAGGGGCGACTGGGTTTATGCGTCGCTGCCCCTGCGGAGTACGGGGGCACGATCCTCTGAGTGTGTGGTTGTCCCGCCAAGACTCGGCACACTCAAGGAGATGGGGGCGGCGAGGGGAAAAGGCCAGGGTAGTCGCCGAACAAAGTTGGTAAATTTAGGACGCCTCTAAGCTGGTAGAAGCGTGCAATGAGAGCGCACGAGGGCACTGGGAAACAGGTCACCGGGTACACTGGTGCGGGACCCCCCCCACACCAGCCCACCCCACGGTGCGCGCGCGCACACACACACACACGCACACGCACACGCACACGTCGCGGTTCTAAAGGGAGCTGTCCGGGCTGAGCAGGAGCAGCTGCGCCGGGCGTGGTGAGGGGGGTAGTTGGTCCCCGGGGGCTGCGCCCGGGCTGCGCTCCACGTGCCCAGAGGGGGCGCTGGGCCGTTCGGCGCCCGAGCGCAAAGCTCCGGGTTTGCGCCCTGGTGGCGGCCAGGAGGTGCGTCCCGGGCGGCGTCGTATCCCGCGCCATCTCTGACGACTCGCGCTGCTTGCCCTGACGCCCAGCCGCTTTCCCACTTCCCAAACTTCGGTTTTCTGGTTTGCCCCTCACTCGAGCTCTCAGACCCTTTTCTGGGCGGAGTGTGAACTTTTCCCTTCCCTACAGCGACCACCTTCTCCTTCCTCGGAATCCAGCGAACTGGAGAGATTGACCTCCCCCTCCCCATCGTGTTAGCCACCTTAGAGGCGCTTAACGAGAGTTTATGGGGAATATTGTTGAACTTCAGTAATCAGGTTTCCAGCGATCTTATGCCTTCTGTTTAATTTATTAGACTAGTTATTTATTCTGTTGATGATAATCTGTTGCTGGTTTCTATGGAGATGTTAAACTGATCTCTTTCAGAAATCAAACTCCATATGCACTAAAACGTTTAAAGGGGCAGTGCCCCTCTCTCTCTCTCTCTCTCTCTCTCTCTCTCTCTCTCTCTCTCTCTCTCTCTCTCTCTCTCTCTCTCTTTTGGTTTTGTGTTTTAGACTTTGCACCTTGCAGAGACTTCGCGTCTTTTCTCTGAGTCTCAGTGCATTATATTTCCTTCTTACGAAGGAGAAGAGCCCGGAGACTCACGCTTTGTGGCAAGTACAGCTTATTATGGCTAGAAGGAAGCAAAGGCTTTGATCCCTAAATTGCATCATCATTTAAAACAGATCATTTCACCACCACCCCCTTCTTCCCCATCATATAAGAGCAAAATTCTTTCAAGATCAAAGAGTCCAATCTAAAAAAAAAAAAAACTATTGTTAAAAAAATAGGAAGTCAGTCAAATGTGAACCTCTCCTTTATATCTGTTCCCCTTGTGTTTAAAGAATTTTTTAAATAAGAAAAACAAAACTTGTAGCTCAGCTAATTTTTCATACTTACTAATAGTTTATCTTGCTCCCCCCCCCTTTTTTTTAATTTAAAAGAAGTTCAAAGTTAGATTTCTCTGCCTGTGGGGGTTGAGGTATATTTGCTTCTCTTTTAGATCCTGACCATCTGTTTTCAGAAAATTAGCCTCTGGGAAGAGGGGAAAGTTTTCACTAAAACTTAATGGACTGTTTTAATTTTTTTTAAATGCACCCAAATATTTTACAGTTCCAGTTTTCTTACTTTTTAGAGGAATATCAGTAACTTCTATTGGGTGTGTAAGAGCACATAACTTTTTTCCCCTTTTCTCTTCCTCTCCTTGGGTATTTTTCTGTAGACTTGTGAGTTTGAGGGGGTGGATGTAGTGAATTAAGAAGGTAAAGCTGAAAAAAAAAATATCTTGGGTTGTGACACTCTGAAAAATTGCAAATCTACTGTGAACTCAGATATTTATCAGGCTGACAGATAGGATACAAAGCGATTGCATTTCCTAATGATCTTCTGGGACTAAGTTGTAGGTAAAACCATTTAATGCATTTTTAATATTAAAGTAAGGCCCAGGTTCCATTTTCTTGGAGGTGGGGGGAAGTAGCTGTCCCTCTCTGGGGCTGATGCTTTCTGAGTATACTGTTTTGCTTTTTCAACTGGAACCCCCCACCCCCACTGCCAACCCTTCCCATTAACATTTACTTTGAGGAGGGGTGAGCCACACACAAGCCATTTGGCCTTCATAAATAAATTTATATCTGGACAGAAAGTCCAAAGCTAAATAAGAGCACACTTTAAAAAAGAAGAAGAAAAAAACAAATCTCAGACTCCACCCCTGCTATAGGAAATAAAACAGAGGCAATACTTGACTTTTTTCCCCCCCTTTCTGCCATCCTGGTTCTCTTTTATATTATTTTATTTTGGAAGGGGGTGGAGTGGCTGTTGCTTCTCAGCTCAGAGGTGAGAGGAGCCATTCTTATTATTTCCCCTTTTGCTATATTTTAAAAATTTGATTTGGATTGCAAACAGAACAGGCTGAGGATAGAAAAGAGCACTGTGGCTTTAAACTCAGGAGTTTGCATACATATTCCCCTTGTATCTTTCCCCTTTGCTAATTATTGTGTTGTTTTCAGAGCAAATATGTCATATCCATGGCGACCGGGCAGGTTTATTGTCTTTCTGAAGCAATAGCTCACATAAGTAATTAATGACTTTCTTTTTTTTCCTCTGGCTTAGGTTAAACAGATCATTCAAGGAAAGTCATCTCTCTCTCTTCTCTCTTCTCTCTCTCTCTCTTTCTTTTAGCCCAGTGACATAAGAACATGAGGTAGAACAAGAAAATACTTTAACCAAGAAGTCAACAGCTTATTTTCCCCCATTTCTTTTAAAAGCTGAAGAGTCAGCTTTCAGACATATGAGGCTGTCATTCTTGCAGCCGTGAGCAGGGCAGTCCACGCCTGGGTTGG